CAGCAGGCGGCAGAGAGAAGGGTCCCAGCGGCGGTTCCGGGGCGCAATCCAGGAGGGCGGCCGGGAGGAGGAGGGCGGCCAGAGGCCATGCGCGCCCCGGCTACGTCGGAGCCCAACGCGTCCTGGTGGGCGCCGGCCAACGCGTCGGGCTGCCCGGGCTGCGGTGCCAACGCCTCGGACGACGGCACGGCCCCGGCGCCGCGGACCGTAGACGCCTGGCTCGTGCCCCTTTTCTTTGCTGCGCTGATGCTGCTCGGCCTGGCAGGGAACTCGCTTGTCATCTACGTCATCTGTCGCCACAAGCAAATGCGGACGGTGACCAACTTCTATATCGGTGAGGAGCCGGGCGCGGCGCCGCGCCTGCCTGCCACTCCCGGGTCGCCACGAGGGCAGAGTGGCCACGGGCGCCCGCTAGCTCCGTGGGGGGAGCCTCCCAGACCCGCTCTCTCCCCTGCAGGGCTCCCCCGCCACCCTGGTGTCCTTTCCAGGTCGTCCCTTTACCTTAGGCTAGAGGTCGCCAACTCCAGGGTTGGCGCTCCCGTGCCTGCCGGCGGTGGGCTGGAGTGGCTAGAAGGAAGGGTGGGGATCGTGGGCACCCAGAAACAGCCCTGCCGCTCGCGGAGGTTGTCTGGTTGCAGTGTGGTCCTGTGACACGGTGTCCGCTGAACAAAAGGCGTAGAGGGTAGGGACTGGCTCAGCCTGCGGTCTCGGTTTGCGACCCCTGCCCCAGTGGCTCTCTGGGCCTCAGTTTGTGCATTGGTGCGGTAGTGGGGTGCCCTACCCGGCACGGGTGTGCGCTCGGAGTTGCCGTTCTATGGTAGCTGTTGGGCCAGCACCACAGTCTCCAACTTGCAGAGGAGGAAACTGAGGCTCAGAGGAGCAATGACCTGATCAGGTTCTCCCAGCCCGGACAGGGGCGACCAGGAATGGCTATGAAACCCGTGCCGGGAGGTGTTTGATCTGCAAAGGGAGACGAGGGGGTGCCCCAACTTCTCTGGCCGAGGGTGTCCGAAGCCGCTCGGGGAGCCTTCCCGAGCCATCGGGCTGGTCACTCGGACAAGGGTGGGGCCAGGGGGCTGGACCAAGGGCGCCGCGCTGTTCTGTTGCCCTTGCGCCCCGCTCCAGCGCGCGCGCGTCCCCCGCCCGCAGCCAACCTGGCGGCCACGGATGTGACCTTCCTGCTGTGCTGTGTGCCCTTCACGGCTCTGCTCTACCCGCTGCCCTCCTGGGTGCTGGGCGACTTCATGTGCAAGTTCGTCAACTACATCCAGCAGGTGCGCGGGCCGGGGAGACGGACTCGGGGAGTCAAGTGCCGGGAGCGGGGCCGGGCAGGCGGGAGGAGTGTGGGTGTGGGCGCGGCGGGACCGAGGGCAGGGCGGAGAGGGCCTTGGGGGGCCCAGCATCGGGG